ACTGCCGAACATGTATAAGAATACACATGGCATAGATTGTCGCAAATGCCTGATTCCTGTATTTTAAAAACGTTTCCTTTACCACCCGTTGTGCCACCGGACATATATCAGTTTTCTATCTTAATTTTTGTGTTCTGTGCGTTGTGTTTACATTACAGACAGTAAACGAGAAATCCAATAATTAAACAAAATATTAGTGAAACCATAAACATGTTATACGTGGTAGAGCCACGCTGCAGTAATATTTGTGGCACGGGTGGATCGGCTCGACCGGGGAAGGACCACGCTCTTACACAATACCGGTGTAAAATAGCATCTTAATGCTGCTGTGTTTCGTATGGTGAGTGTAGAAAACAGGAGACCCTTTTAACTGGAAACGATATATTCCATTTTCGTCCTCACGGGTGACAACGCATTTTAATTTTGATTCTTAAGTAAGGATAGATGTAGATGTCTATGGGCCACAGAATCCACTTATCATCAGGTGGACAGTGTGCCTGTTTGTCATTCTTATTCTATAAAAAAAAAAACAACACTTTGCCCGAAATGCCACGTTATTTAGTAGACGTTACAGTTTTTTTTAGCAAACAAAATGCACATAAAACAGTCTTTGTAACAAATTAACTATTCGTTCGGCAAGTTACATGACATGATGACAGCTTCTATTTTAAGCTAGTATTCTATGACAACGTGGTCCTTCCCCGGTCGAGCCGACCCATTCGTGCTATAACCGTAATATAACTGCAGCGTGGCTCTACCACGTATACTATATCCTGAACCTGCTATGGTATCCATGATGACCCTGAGCCAACTATATTCAGCGACTTAACGTTCCACTGCTTGGCGAAAGCCTCCTCTCATTTCTGATTTTCTGAAAGGTTATTGAGCAACAAATCCTCAGCGATGCTACAGTGTTTGTTGGTGGACTTCACATGAAATTTCAGATGTTTTTTTTATAGAATAAGGGTGACAAACGAACACACAGTTCACCTGATGGTAAGTGGTTGCTGTAGCCCATAGACATCTACATCTATCTTCGTTTGCGAATTAAAATGCAGATGCGTTGTCAGCCGTGAGGACTAAGATAGAATGCCTCTTTTCCAGTACAAAGGTTCTCCGGTTCTCTTCACTCATCATACGAAACACAGCAGCATTAAGCTGTTATTTTACGCAGGTTATCTGTGAGAGCGTGGTCCTTCCCCGGTCGAGCCGACCCATTCTTACTACAACTATACCATTAATATACCTGCAGCATGGCTCTACCACGTATATGTGCAGGTTTCCTCATATTTTTCTTTCACCACCGAGCACGTGGTAAATCAGCTCTTAAAATTGCAATTAACAATTTCATTGGTGCCGGCGGAAACTGAATTTGGATATCCGCGTATTTTATTCGTATTTTAATTAAATGTACACACACCGATTTTTCCACGGGCACTAAGTCTCGGGCAAAAGCTAATGTAATAATAAAAGGTTTTAACTAGACTAGTTACTACTACTAGTTTTATGTTTTAACTTTTACGTTGTAAAGTCACGCTGCAGCTTTGCTAGGTTTACATAGCTGCAGCACGAATGGATCAGCTCAATCGGGGTAGAATCACGCTCTCACAGAATACCAGCGTGAAACAGCAGAATATTATTGCTGTGTATCTTATGGTGAGTGTAGAGAACCGGATACCCTTGTTACTGGAAATGAGGCATTCCATCTTAGTCCTCAGGGGTGATAATGCATCTGCATTTCGATCATAATCGATGATGTAGATGTCTATGAACCACAGCATTGACTTCCCTTCAGGTGAACTGTGTGTTCCTATGTCATTCTTAATGCATATAAAAAACTAGATTGCACCGTTCACTAAGTTTGCACAAATGGTTTAGATAGCGATGCCCTGAAATCAGTGATTTTGTACCATTGCAAATTATAGGTATACCATATTGATACTCCATTGTGTAATGGTACTCCCACGGCCTTGAGACTACCATTGTCGAATCAATTGACCCGACGGTCAATTGGCTGCGGATATTACAGTTTTATTATGGAATATATTAAACCGTAGTTCCTTTTCATCAGGTTTTACTAACTATACATACACATACCTCACTAACATGAAGTAGTTATAAAGATATTGTAATTGTACATGCACATGTGCCACACGTATATATATATATAAAAAAAAAACAAAGCCCGGCAGTACGGATTAAATAAAAAAAAAAAAATAAAAAAAAAATACAAAAAAAAAAACAAAATAAAAAAAAGAGATATTAAATTATACAGCGAAAATATCACAGAAAAAAGGGTACTGCAGAAAAGTAGTAGTAACAAAAGTATAAAAAAAAAAAAAACTATACATACACATATGAAGACATACAGCGCGTTACATTTAACTTCATTCATTTATATATAATACTGTTCCCCGCGACTTCGCCGTTTTAATTTTTTTGCGCGGAACCATAATTCTTATTCTAGAATAAAAGTAGCCTAAGTTACTCCTTCCAACATCATCTATCTGCCAGGGAAAATCCCGTCAAAATCGATCCAGCCGTTTCGGAGATTAGCCGGAACAAACAGACAGACAGACGGATAGACAGACTGACAGACAAAAACCTTAAAAATTGTATTTTTGTTATTAGTACCGTATATACTTTCATATGCATTTAGTAAAAAGCTGTAATTTTGAGATTACAAACAGACACTTCAATTTTATTTATTTGTATAGAATTTGTATAGAATAAAAGTCTGAATAAGTCTTCCCTACAGATTACCTCATTGGAAGGGCAGTTTTTTTTTCATAGTATAACGGTGACAAGCGAGCACACAGTCTACCTGATGGTAAGTGGATGCTGGGGCCCATAGAAATCTAAATTTTTCCTCGATTAAGAATTAAAATGCAAATTAATGCATTGTCACCCCTGAGGACTAAAATGGAAATATCCAGTAAAAACTGTTCTCTACACTCATCATAACAAACACAATTATTATTATTATCAGCATTAAGCTGCTATCCTTCCCCGGTAGAGTCGACCTATTCGTGTTACAATCATATGCAACATGTAACAAAAACCCTGTGGTTTCCGTTAAGTACGTCATCAGGATCAGTATTGAAACCTATAAAAATAACTTTTTTTTTTAAAAACTTGAACAATATTTTTTTATTCGATTCGGTTCGAATCCCGGGTCCGGCTAAAATCAGTTATCGAAATTTTCTGTCAAGTAATTAAATGAAGCAATCCGAAGTTAGGCAGTTGGCGGTGTTTCACCTACGTGCCTCGAAAAGCGCGTAAAGCCGTTGGTACTGCGCCTGATCTCTCTCCGGCCGTGTTAGCTTGACGTCCCATTGGACTACGAGAGTGAGGGAATAGAGGGTGCACCTGTGCTTGCGTATACACTTGGTCACTTTAATCCTGTCCTCCGCAGATGGTTAGTCCCCGTTGAGTGTGGCCACCGGGACTCTGATGGAACGGTAATCCGACACGACCAGGGAGAAAACAGGAGCGGAACCTACAGCTTTACGTGCATTCCGAGGCATGGAGGTGAAAACACCGCCGTACCTTCCATAAAACATAATATAGGTATTCGATTCGAGAACCTCCTCCTTTATTGAAGTCGGCACAACTGTTAAGTACTTTTAAATTAACTGATAGTAAGTATATATTACTTAAAAATTATATTTGGTATTTATAGGTTTCCCTTATCATTAACACATCGCCTTTTCAAAATTAACTCTGCGCAAATGTAATTAAACCAGTTAAATATAAGTAATTACTTAAATGACGTCAATAAGTGAAAAAATTCTTGAAACGCGCGGAAAATGATATCATCGTAAGAAAAAAAAAACCGTTTGTAAACACATTACACAAGCCCCGAGATATAAGTGAAGACCGGGCATTGTTAACTTCTTGGTTAAGGCTTGTACTAGACTAAAGCCAATAAACTATAATCTCTATTGATTTAATGTAGGTGGCGCTGTGTCGAAATTCAGAAATCACTCGTAGGAAAATGGGGTGGTTCGTTAGTCATTTATAAAAATGAAAACAAATACTTTAGCTTTAAAGTGACTGTAACAAAATGTAAAAACTAAAATTATCATCAGACCCTATTCCTCGGCGTGTAATGCCAAGAACATGTGCTGAGGTAATTTGCTGAATGGCAAAATTTAACAAGCCTAAGTGAAAGAAAAATACCTGAATTATTTTGAGCAGCCGCGTGACACACAGTTGGGTAGTAACAGCACGTGGACTTATGCTTTCAGCGATATTTAACATAAACTAATTGTAAAAACACATAAAATTAGCTATAAGTAATTTTATTGACCAATTCGTAAAAGTCACTTTTCAGTTCAAATAATAAGACATTCTATTATTTTTTATATCCATACTAAAATAAGATTCAACTTCAATAATAGATGTAAGATACAATTATTAACTTCCTTCTGCGTAGCATTGAAAGGAAGTTAATGGTTTTAGCTGGAAGTCTGTTAGTCTGTATGCCGACACGATAACTTCCGTTCCACTGGACCGATTGACTTTAAATTTGGTATGTGGGTACCTTGAGGTAGTAGCTCAGTCGAGTTTGAATTTGGGTCCTGTAGGTCAAAGGGCACCAGAGATATGGGATTCACGCAGAAGTTGATTTTCTTGAATTTACATTCAACTCGTTTATTATTTAATCTTTTGTTTTACAGAAAAACGCAATTACGTCTTTATTTTATTATTCCCAATTATATATACAAGAGTATAATATTTGGTTGGTTGTCACTGAACTCCATCTAAACGGCTTTTGTGTATGCTTGAGTGGATCCCTGAATGGTTTAGATTCACTACTGTATAGGTAGGTGGCGTTATTTTAGAGATCCAGAAATCACCCGTGCAAAGCCGGGGCGGATCGTTAGTTTTATGTAAGTGTGGACGTGCCTTAACTGAAAAAGGTGCGCGCGATTCATTATTCCCGTTGCAATTGCCGGACAATAGCTACACCGCTCAGTGACGCGTCGACCGCCCGCATGCCCACAGCGCGCAGCCTCCTCTCCCGGCGCTGGCTCTGCTCCCGCCGCGCCCGCCACCGCGAGGAAGCGGACGAGGCGCCGGCTGGGAACATGGACCGGCGACAGCGCGTCGCACGCACCCTCAGCTCCCCCGTGCGCGCACAACAACCCACCGATGAAGAATCCCTCGAAAGAGCGTACCCCTCTACAGGGCACCTCGAATACGTCCTCGCCGGATCCTCACCGCCAGCCGAAAGCGCTCCAAACATGTACGACAGCTTCGAAGAACCACCCTTGGACTTAACTGCGCACATCTGCGATGACTCATTACGTCAGAGTGCGCACGAGCAAATGAGAGCGGTTGGCGGTAGATTACGGCTTTTAGACGAACTGGAATCGGGTGTCATCACTTTGGAAACCGCAATGAACACCTTTGAAAACGCCACCGAAGCCGAGAGAAACGTCTGTTTATTTTGGGCGGCCTTTCTTAAGTTAGATCAACTGCTGCCGGCACTGATAGAGACGGGAGCGGATCCTTTATACTACGATGCATTGGGCCTGTCTCCACTTCATGCTGCAGCGTTTAGTGGTTCCATGGAATGCGCGATCTATCTACTGTCATGCGGCGCCGACCCCAATTACATGCCTCGTTGCTTCGTGCCGCTCCATTGTGCCGCGTTCGGGAATTCAGTGCAAGTGGCTAATTTACTAATCAGTCGTGGGGCGTCTGTCCATGCGGCTGTCAAGTATATCAGTTGTGAAGGAGGTTTACTACACTGCGCTGTACGTGCCAACTCCGTTGAGTGCCTGAAGTTGTTTATATCGCACGGAGTGGATGTCAATTTGATAGAACCGGGCGGCACCAATGCAATCCATCTTGCTGCTGACTTGGGAATGATACAATGTCTCGCTATATTATTAGAAACGCCCGGTGCTGATCCAAACGTAAGAACAAGAGTCGGTGACAGAGAATCGACTGCATTACATTTGGCTGCTGATGGTGGTTTTGTGGATTGTGTTGATTTGCTTCTGTCTAAAGGCGCTGATGCGTGCTTGAAAAATCATCGTGGTTTTACAGCTTTACATTTAGCAGCTCGATCAGCTAGTCTGGAATGCGTAGAATCATTACTAAGAAAAGGTAACGCTGAACCTAACGCAATGGATTTTGATATGAGGACGCCCCTTCACGCTGCCATAGGCAAGTCTGACAGTGCGTGTGACATTATTGAAACTTTAATAAGTTGGGGAGCAAATGTCAACCAGAAAGATGAGTACGGTTTCACTCCTCTTCACTTAGCCGCATTGGATGGACTCTCTGCATGCGTGGAGACGCTCATTTATCACGGCGCTGACGTCACTACAAGATCTAAGAAAGGAAACTCCGCTCTCAATGTAATCGCACGAAAAACACCTGCATCTCTCGCAATGGTGACAAGAAAGCTAGATTGTGCTATCACATTACACCATTCACAGACAAGCAATAGAGAGGTGGAACTTGAACTTGACTTTCGCAGCATTCTTCAGCATTGTTATCCTCGAGAGATAAGCTATCTTAACACGTTTGTAGATGAAGGTCAGAAAGAGGTGCTTCTCCATCCATTATGCTCGGCTTTCCTTTACATCAAATGGGAGAAGATACGTAAATATTACGTAGCACGATTGTTTTTGAGCTTTATTTTTGTTTTGTGCCTCACACTTTACGTTCTTACTGCATTAGCTCACAACTGTTATAATGGAAGTAAGGATATGGAGGAAACGATCCAAGAGCAGGAGTTATGTCAGAAACAGTCCATTCTCGGTGATTTATTGAGGAAAAATCCGTTCGTGATAGAAATGCAGTGGTGGGTGTTGGCGGGAATAACGATATTTGAAATATTCAGAAAAGTTTACGGCATAGCCGGGTATTCGACTGTGAAACAGTATCTGATGCAATCTGAGAATATAATAGAATGGTTTGTGATTGTGAGCGTATTTCTCATTTCATATATTTACACGAACATAACGTACACTTGGCAAAACCACGTCGGAGCATTCGCAGTGCTCGCAGGCTGGACGAATCTTATGATGATGATTGGACAGCTGCCAGTCTTCGGCACCTATGTGGCTATGTATCAAAAGGTGCAGAAAGAATTCGCGAAACTTCTGATGGCCTACTCTTGCATTTTGATTGGTTTTACTATAAGCTTCTGCGTCATATTTCCAGACTCGTCTTCCTTTGCAAATCCATTTATGGGTTTTATTACTGTTTTAACTATGATGATAGGCGAACTGAATTTGGACTTGCTACTGAACGAGCCGGATGGAAATGATCCACCAGTGTTGTTGGAGTTTTCTGCACAAATTACATACGTATTATTCCTTATGTTTGTTACGGTTGTACTGATGAACTTGCTTGTTGGTATAGCAGTTCACGATATACAAGGATTGAGGAAAACTGCTGGACTATCGAAACTCGTGCGACAAACAAAGCTAATCTCATACATGGAGCTGGCATTATTTAATGGATATTTACCTAAATGTTTGCTAAAAATACTACATTCCTCAGCACTAGTTTCCCCACAAGCTTACAGAGTGGTCCTAAGCGTGAAGCCTCTGAATCCAAGTGAGAAAAGGTTACCCAGAGACATAATGATGGCAGCATATGATATAGCAAAAATGAGAAAACAGTACGGTCATACAATATCATCTAACGGATCAACTACGGGCACTTATTCTTGCTTTAAGAAATACGAGAATAATAATGACTCCAGTTATAGAGAATATGGATATTCAGGCCTCGGTACTCTCCAAGCGAGACTGGACGAGACTTCGGAGAACGTGAAACAACTGACACAGGAAGTTAGGGAGTTGAAAAAGTTGATTAGTGCCCAGCAGCTCGTAATTCAGCAAGCGCTCGCCGGAGCGATGGACAACCGTTGATGACATAATGGTCCAGGACCATTTATTTTCAATGCCAACTGTACATGAGTCAATAAACTGTAGCGGACAAGCATTGTTGCAAATTTACTCTCGTTTAGTTGCTATTGTATACAGTTGCGAACTTAAAAGGTTTTAAAAGTGATATAATTATTTTACGTTTGCAAAATGTTGTATATACGAAAGTAGAAATGTGTGTAAACAAATAATTTACGATAACGTCAAAATTATATTGTGCTTGTTATATTTGTGGGTTTCAGCAATTCCACTGCAAAGGTTAATAGATTAGTGATGTGACACTGTGATTGTAATTGATAGTTGTCAAGATTTGTGATATCATGATAATAAAATATTTTTGGCGTTTTCTTTTATCACGCAAGGTAAATGTAGGTACACTACTCAGGGGTAGCAGTTAGAAACAAGCTTTATTACAGAATAAATATGACTAACATATAGCTTGTTGCTTAAATATAACCAATAATAACTTCAAAAGATACCTAAACATTCTGAAAGTCGTTTGTGTTCTTCTAAACCCATTAGATTCCCTCTTCATCGTTTACTGTATCCGTCACGATTGACGGACGGGTTGGCTCCCGCAGTTTTTTTATTATTATTATTGAGTTGCGATCAGGAAGATGTTTATATTCATTCATTCACTTCTTTCATTTATTTAACAATAAAAATAAAATACTTAACCAAATAAAAATAATCACTTTTATTCAATTTAAATTACAAGTTATACTTACTGAGAATAATTTATAAAACTGGTGAAAAAAAACTTTTCCATTAGGAAAAGCCAGTAAGAAACCTAGTGATATTATTTTTAATTAATAATTTATAATAATGTACAATGTTAATTAAATTGTACAATAGAAACAACATGGTAGCGTACACCTCATTCCCAGCCATATTATTTAATAATATTATAACAAAATTAACTCTAGTACGAGTATATACAATATTAAAAAACTATAATAAAAAAACTAATAACTTAATTATAATACAGTCCTACTCCCCGTGGTATTGTACCAAGAACACTGGCTGTGCTTCCTCGCTAAAAAAAGGCTAAGTAGGTATAGCCATTCAGTGAGGAAACGCAGCCAGCGTTCTTGGCACAATACCCTGGGGAGTAAAGGCCTGTTTTCACTTTGATTAGTGCGAGTGCAGGCGATTAATTTTGCGGTTATTAGTGCAGGTGTGTAGTGTAAGTAGTGTCCAATTCTGTTTAGTGGCTGTGTTTAGTAAATTCAGTTGTTAGCAGTCGACCAGGAAGTATGGACATTTTTTTAACAGAAGCGAGCGTCCGACGCTAAACGCTAAACACTAAGCTGCAAGCACTGCTGTCCAAACGTGTTTAGTGGCAGGCATGCTGCGAGTGAGGGGAAAGGAGGGGCGCGCGGGGCGTGACACTCGCAGTCCACTCGCAAAAAAAATAGAACACGCTTCTAATCACTTTACTACACAGGTTATTAATCACTTGCACTAATCAATTGCTGTCCACACGTGTTTACTCCTAAACACTAAGCACCTGCACTAATCACCTGCACTAATCACTAATCAAAGTGAAAACAGGCCTTTAGGCTGTATGATAAATAGTTTTAGTTTTTTTTTATATTATAATATATACAAATAAATAAAATTGAAGTGTCTGTTTGTAATGTCAAAATAACAGCTTTTTAGTAAATACGTTTGATAGTGTATACAGTACTTATAACAAAAACATCATTTTTTTAAATTTTATCTATCTGTCAGTCTGTCTGTTTGTTCCGGCTAATCTCCGAAATGGTTAGACCGATTTGGACGGGACTTTCATTGGCAGATAGCTGATGTTATAAGGAGTAACTTAGGCTACTTATATTTTAGAAAGATAATTAGAACTCCGCACAGAAAAATTAAAACCCTAAATTGAACGCGGGCGAAGTCGCGGGAACAGCTAGTATCAAATATTTTATTTATTTTTATTTATTTATTTATTTTATTTTCAAGGGAAACATACATAGTTTTAGTCTAATAAAACACATATTAATCTTAGAATTAACATTAAAGTTTCCACAGTTAAGTAACTCATCGACAAGCGAACACCATGCAATACTTTGGTGTGTAGAACTAAAGTTAAGTCAAAGTAAAATGTAATATTAAACTGAAATATAAAATTTAACTATTACCCATTACAGTTTCAATTTCATTTTTAAACTGTCCATATGACATAGAAAATACATCAATATGTGAAAAGATGTTATTATAAGATTTACATGCACGAGTTATAAAATTGTTGTTACCATATTTAGTGCGCATTGTAGAAGTACAAAATAAAAGTTTCTTTCTAGCACTTATCCTTTGGCATTTGAAATTTGAAGTGGTATGGAGTCGACCCTATTTTGAATGATTTTATATAAAAAACATCTGATCCCTGACAGTACGACGGGATTTTAGGTCAGGGGCTAATCTATACAAATTAGAGGCATCACCCGCTGATCTAAATTGGATATGCTTCAGAAATTTATTGTGAATATTTTCAATTGACTCTATATAAATATTATATTGAGGATTCCAAACTGTTAAGCAATATTCTAATATTGAGTGGACCAATGAGTTTTACAAAATAATTAGAGTTGAGGGTTTTTTAAGGTTTTTAGTAATTCGTAATACAAATCCAAGCATCTTAATCAATTATGTAGGTAGTATAATAAAAAAATTATAGATTTACATTGAATGTGCTCTACATTGGCAGTATGAACGTAAGCAAGGAATGTTTTATTTTATTAAATTTGTTGTATTTCTACACACATATCTATACGAATCAATAAAATTGAAGTGTCTGTTTGTAATGTCAAAATAACAGCCTTTAACTAAATGCATTTGAAAGTATATACGGTAATTATAACAAAAACACAATTTTTAAAATTTTTGTCTGTCTGTCTGTCGGTCTGCCTGTGTGTCTATCTGTCTCTCTGTCTGTCTGTTTGTTCCAGCTAATCTTCGAAACGGCTGAACCGATTTTGACGGGACTTTCACTGGCAGATAGCTAATGTTATAAGGAGTAACTTAAGCTACTTTTATTTTAGAAAAGGGATTAGGGTTCCGCGCAAAAAAATTAAGACCCATAAAATCCAATCGTAATAAATTCCACGCGGGCGAAGTCGCGGGGAACAGCTAATTAGATTTAAATTTTTGAATTCTGAACTCCTCCATATAAACTTCAGCTATGCCAAATCTCAGACTACTCCGTGCGCGCAAAATGCATCATAAATAATAGTTTAAAATTTTCTTATTTTAGAGTTATTGAAAATTATTTTCTACTTTTTAGTTCAATTATCTACAGAAGCGTGTTTTTTTTAGTTTTTTTTTTAATTATTATTTATTTTCTATTTCTTAGTGCGGCTAACTACAAAAGCGTTTTTTTTTGGAACGAAGTTCTTTTACGCGGCTTACAGTAGATTGAGTTTGCAGAAATCGTAGTTGTTTTATGAATCGTTCGCAAATCCTGAGAATCCTAGCAAGGGTAATGGGACAAACTATTTAAATTATTGTATTGTCATCGGTCCTTGATAAGTGTGCGAAGTTTCAAATTAATTCGACATTTTGAAGGGGATGAAACTCACATACAAAAATTCCGCTACACAGATATTTAGATACAAGCCAAGCTAATAAAAACGTGTTAGAAAGGGGTGTAAAGTTTTCTCTTCCCTTATTAACATATAGCTACTGATAGTTGTATTTTGTATTGTAGTTAGGTTGTATTTTTTTATTATTGTCTAAAATACTTCTTCGGATTAAGGTTTTTGGCTTTCCGGAACACACCGCAAAACAAAAACAGTTTCGATGTCAGCCAGATTACATTCTAAACTGTGCAGCTATATTATATTTATAGTTCCGTCAGTCCGATCTCTTATTGGAAAAGAGACATATTATCTATGGCAGTACGTTTAGTATAGTGTGAACTTTGCCGCAAAGGTTATACTTGTGAGAAGTTGTCGCGGATTTCTGCCCTTTTCAAAATGGCGGTGCAGCTGATCGACGCGCGTAGAAAAAGTAAGTAATGATTAAAAATATTTTTAATAGTGATTGACTACATTGATTGCGCGATTTTAATAGGTAATAAAGTCAAGTCAATGAGACAACTATAGTTCAATGCGTATCTCTATCGGACGCGAAGATACTTGGTTGTTAGTTCAAACACGCACGATAGTGCGACTCCGGCTTTAACTAGTCTATTAAAATTTATGTTGATTAAAAATTAGATCAATGTTTTTAATGTTTTTAATCGGTAAAAAAATTACAAAACGCTCTTTTTTCTGTTGCAGAAAGAACATTAACCTCGGAATACTTACTAGAATTGATAGCAGACGGAAACGAGCCTGAGATAGAGGGTTTCGAAGATGAGGAATTTCATGAAGAGGAAGGCATTGAGGCTGTACCAGATCGGATGGCGGGTCAGTCGTATTCGGACGATGATATTTCTAACAGCGAGCAAGAAGAAGAAACCACTAACATTCAGGTACCAGAAATAAGTCCTAGTCCGAATACAGTCTGCGCTGTATCTCAACGTCGTCTTTCTGTAAGTCGCCGGCATCATCTACCTGATCGTTCATCAAGCGCACCAAGCACATCTCATGGTACTTCTCGATACCGCACGAGGGACCGCATGAGTAGAAATGATCAGCTGTCTGATTTATCTGGTAATCCGCCACCTAGCGTTCGTGCTCAGTCCGAGGCAGCTCAACGCAACAGGGATCCGTCTAGGCGAAGGCTATGGAAATCTATTCCATTTGACCAAAAAGAACATAATTTTCCGCCACGGGAACAACAAACAATTAGAACGCCTCTCAAATACTTCGGGGACAATTTTGACGATGCATTTTGTGAGAAAGCCGCTTACTGCACAAATAATTACTACTTGAGGCAAACTGGAAGGGTTCTTCATACTAATCCTGTAGAAATGAAGAAGTTCATTGGTGTGCATTTTATAATGGGGTGCATAAATTATCCACGACTTCATATGTACTGGAGGCAAGAAATGAGACTGGCATTAGTAGCTGATACCATTCCAAGAGCCGACTGAAGATGTTGCGCACAAATTTTCATGTGGTGGAAGAGGATATCGCCCCAGTTGGTAATAAGAACAGTCTATGGAAAATACAACCAGTATTAAATCAGGTAAAAAATGCCTGTGAGAAAATAGAAAGGCTTCCGGGATACTATTCTATAGACGAACAAATGATCCCCTTCTGCGGCTTGTGCTCAAAAGGTCTACGCGAAGTCATAAAGTCCAAACCTAGACCCACCGGTTTGAAAGCATTTGTAGCCACTACAAGCGATGGTCTAATGCTCGACTTTGAAGTCTATCAAGGGGCTAACACCCCATTCACAGATAAATCTCTAGGTGTGGGTGCAGCAGTTATTTTGCATCTTTCCAAATCCATTCCCCCAGGAAGTTGCATTTACTTCGATCGTTATTTCACGTCAATACCTCTCATGGAAAGATTATCTGAAAAAGGAATGCATGGCACAGGAACGGTTATGATGAATAGAATACTTGACAAAAAATATATGACTTTTAAAAATGGCCGTGAAATGAACCGAGGAGATACTGAACAATTCGTAAATAATGGTGTTGTAATTGTGCCCTGGATGGACAACAAATCCGTTCTGGCGGCATCCAATTGCACTTCGGCAGACGATCATATTTTCGTGAAGCGATGGAATAAAAAGGAGAATGCATACATCGATGTCAGGCAGCCCCTTATCGTTGCCAATTATAATCGGAACATGGGAGGAGTTGACGTCCTCGACCAATCAATCGAGTATAATCGAACTTTTATGAAGACCAAAAAATGCTTTGAAGATCATGTTACATTTTTTTGATCTTGCAGTCGCAAATGCTTGGCGTTTATACAAAATACAATGCCAGACGGCTCACGTACATAGGGGCCAAGTCTTTGACTTACTTCAATTCAAATTGCAACTACCTGATGGTCTTACCAATACCCCTGATCGTCCAAGGCCAGAACAATATTCTGTTGAAAACATGGAAGGTTTGGAAGCTCAAGATCAAGAAAAAGGGCCCAAATGTCGACCCAAATATTTCTGCCAAGAGATACCGACCGGCTAATGTACCTTCAGAGGCGAAACGTCACGATGGTTAGTATTTGACGAGATCGAAAACCCTCGATCCTGTAGAATGGAAGGGTGTACAAGTAAATTCAAGATAAGATGTGAAAAATGCAACGTGTATCTTTGTCTTAACAGAAAAGGCAACTGTTTCACATCCTTTCATAGGCAATAATTAGAGGCTAAGTTTCCTAAGATTTTATTTCAAAGTGATTGTACCAAAATGTTTAAGAAATGATTGATGATTGATCTCAAGAAGTTATTTTTTGTTTAAGTGTTGATTATTTAATTTTTTATTTATAAAAATAAATAATTACGAGTAATCATGCCTTTTTTCATTATAAATTACAAAAATATACATAGCAAAATTATACCTTAACAAAATTGTGATAGACAAGATCAAGCCGACATCGCACTATCGTGACATAGCGTTTTCTCAGAGGGGGAGGGGGCGGGCTTAGGGTTTTTTTTATTATTTTTCTAGGATGACTTTGGCTAAGGGTACTTAGAATATAAGATCGAAAACGAGCTACGCAAGATTTTTTTTTCCGGCCATAAAGGGATATGTTGTATTTTATCTTATAAATAAAATGTATCTAAGGTCCGAGAAATCGGCCTTAAGAAATTTAAAAATCTGTTGATATTCCATCTGACAATTATTTTTTTAACTGATAAATACATTATTTATAGACTATACTGTCCTTAAAATGTTGTTGCGACGGTACTTTCCTATTATTTTTGCGTACCATAGACTTAGAATGTTGTGTAAATATTATACTCGTACTTTCGTGACGCCAACACCGCTTTTGCAAAAGTCAAAACTGTTTTAACATCGCCTATATTCGTCATCGACGTTATCTCTTGTGTAATTTTTTTAGCTCATTGATAATCATTTAAGTAATCACATTAATAAAGACCACTCGTCATGCAACCGAGCGTGGTGCCATATTTTTCATCTGGAAGAAATGTGGAAATAATTTTTAATTTTTACCATTCATTTGAAAAATTCCAATGCAAATATTGTGGCGTTTGATGTATTATTTTTGGCAGAAAGCCCTATACCCAATACTACAATTAATATTAAAAAATGCAAACTTCTAGCTATCATATTGCCAGGGTATGTCAACTACCGTATTTGAAGGGTAATTTCTAATTTGTTGGTACCTATTCGAGATTAGTTAGTCATTTACTCCTTCATAATCAAAGAGTTAGACACAAAATATAATATATATTATCACGCCCGTCACCTACGCAGATGCTACGGATTTCCATTTGGCACTAGACATCACGTGAACTCAGGTTTTCATGCAAATATAGAGAAAAAATGCGCCTTACATTTGTTTTTTAAATGAAGTGACAAACAACTTACTCACAGATGGACGTGAGCTGGTTTTCCATGCCCTTCAGACTGAAACATAGTCTTGCTTGCTTGATTAAAAAAAAACATAATTTACTTGGTTCACCCTTGCTTCATTTACATCCATATACCTGCTCATACATGCTTGTCAGTTAAGGATACTCTTAGCTTCATCATCATCATTCATCATTACAGCCTTTCATAAGTCCACTGCTGAACATAGGCCTCCCCCAAGGAATGCCACAAAGCACGGTCCTGAGCCACCTGCATCCATCGACTTCCTGCATGTCTTACCAGGTCGTCACTCCATCTCGTGGAGGTCGCTCCACACTTAGCCTACCGGTACGAGGCTGCCACTCAAGAACCTTTCTTCCCCATCGGTTATCGGTTCTTCGAGCTATATGGCCGGCCCACTGTCACTTCAGCTTACTAATCCGTTGGGCTATGTCGGTCACTCTGGTTCTACTGCGGATATCCTCATTTCTAAGTTTATCACGCAAAGAAACTCCGAGCATAGCCCTCTCCATAGCTCGCTGAACGACCTTGAGCTTCCTCATACGGCCAGCAGTGAAGGACCACGTCTCAGATCCGTAAGTCATCACTAGCAACACGCACTGGTTGTATAATTTCGTTTTAAGGTTTTGAGGAATGTCTGACGAGAAGATGTGTCGTAGTTTCCCGAACGCTGCCCAGCCGAGTTGAATCCGTCGATTGACCTCTCGGTCGAAGTTGGACTTACCTAGTCGAAATATTTGTCGCAGTTAAACATACTCGTCAACAACTTCGAGCTTAGTGCTCCCAACAACTACCGGCGTAGGTGTGATATGGACATTGAACATGATCTTTGTTTTGTCCATGTTCATCTTAAGACCTATCCGTTGGGAGACGCTATTGAGGTGATCGAGCATTGTGCTTAGATCCTGCAGCGATTCTGCCATAAGGACTATATCGTCGGCAAATCGAAGGTGAGTGATGTACTCGCCATTGATGTTAATACCGTATCCTTTCCAGTCCAGAAGCTTGAAATCGTTTTCCAATGCAGCGGTGAAGAATTTCGGGGATATGACATGACCCTGTCTTACATCGCTCTGCAATTGGATAGGTTTCGTACTCTGGTTCTGTACTCGGATAGCCATCGTGGCCCTACTGTACAAGCACTTCAGCACTTCGATATACCGACAGTCAACTTGGCACCGCTGAACGGACTGCAGCACCACCCAAATTTTGACGGAATCAAAGGCTTTCTCATAGTCCACATACGCCAGGCATAGTGGCAAATTGTACTCCTCGGACTTCTGTACAACTTGCCGAAGGGTATGTATGTGGTCTATGGTGTTAAAGCCCTTTCGGAAACCGTCTTGTTCGGGAGGCTGGAAGTCGTCAAGTCTGCGCGTGAGACGATTCGTAATGACTCTCGAAAACAGCACGTAGACGTGGCTCAGAAGGAAAATCGGTCTGTAGTTCTTCAAGAGAGCGTCTCTAGCTTGGTTAGTATTAATTACATCGCTAAATTGATTGATAAACTTACGTCTTAGGCACTATTTTCTCATTCATTCTTTCTGCGTATCCAAATCACTAAATCATTCCTTTCTTAATTCTGTTCTGTTGACAAAACTTCTTGTAAACCACAATTTTCTCTTAACACATAATTTCTTTTTTTTTGAAAAAAAAAATTTGGGATGTGCAAGCGGGATTTAGAAAGGGAATGGGATGTACGGATCAGGTCTTTTCCATGCGCATGATCGCCGAGAAGTTTTTGGCCAAAAACCAAAAAGTTTTTTGTGCGTTCATGGACTTGGAGAAGGCTTATGACAGAGTGGACAGGGATGTGTTATGGCAAACACTGAACTCATTTGGGTTGAGCGCTGGTCTGATACAGGCATTGAAGTCTCTATATAGGGACTCTACTGCTTGTGTCAGGATCAACGGAGCCTACTCGGACTGGTTTGACATCCATAAAGGTGTCAGACAGGGCTGTGTGGCTTCCCCGTGGTTGTTCAACCTATTTATGGACAGTTGCTTGGAAAATTTGAAAGTAGAAGAATGCGGGTTAAGAATGGGTGAGTTAACCGTCAAATGCCTTTTGTACGCCGATGATCAAGTCATACTTGCGTCGTCGGCAGCCGAGTTGCAAATGATGGTTACATTAATGAACAGGACATTAAAAGAAAAGGGAATGAAAGTGAACGCAAGTAAGACGAAAGTTATGGTTTTTGAAAGAGAAGAAAGTAAAACGATATGTGAAATAAGAATAGAAGGGGAGTTGGTAGAGCAAGTAAATGAGTTTGTATATTTGGGATGTGTGTTTAGCAGGGATGGTAGATATGATAAGGATATAGAACGACGAGTGAATGCAGGAAATAGAGTGAATGGGGCTCTACACTCTATTGTGAAAAGTCAGAATGTGTCCAAAAAGGCACGTATGGCAATTCACAATGCTGTGTTAGTACCTACTTTAATGTATGGTAGTAAAAGTTGGGTGTGACAGAAAAAGCATGAGAGTAGAATAAATGCTGTAGAAATGCGGTCATTAAGGAGTATGTAAAGTGCCTCATTTAGATACACTGTGTCCTGCATTCACTCTTTGTTTAATAACCTTGTCATGTCTACCGTCCCAACTGTCTGTGTGCCCTAAATGTACAAACTCATCCACTTGCTCTAGCAACTCCCCTTCTACTTTTATCTTACATGTCGTTTTACTTTCTTCCCTTTAAAAAAACCACAACTTTCATCTTACGTTCAATTTAATTCTCTTTTTTTAATGATATTATGTTCATCAATGTAATCATTAAGTCGTTATCGCCCATCGACGACGAAAATATGACTTGATCGTCTATAATATGAATTAGAGGCGTTTCATGGCCCATTCTTAATCTCAATTCTTTGACTTTCAAACTTTCCAAGCAACTCTTAATAAACAGATCAAACAGTCACGGTGAAACTATCCGACCCTAACAGACACCTTTAAGGATGCCAAGCCAATCTTTGTAGGCCCCATTGATCATCATACAAACACTAGAGTCCCTAAAATATATTCTATACCTGTATCAGCGCTCAATCTTAACGAGGCCAGTGTTTGTCATAAAGCAACCCTGTTCTGTGCCTTTCATAACTCTTTCAAGCAACAATTCAGCATACAGATTTTTGACAATGCTAAGAAGGCTAATTTTAAGGTTATACAGTCCTGCTGTGACCTTTTTCCCTTATACGTTTGGACTTGCACCTGTTTCCGGATACTCGAGTAAGTTCCCAGCATAAATTAAAGAAAGCGTGTAGCAGGTTTCTAGCAGGGTTCTCCAAAGTTCAGCATTTCTCATAATATAATTAATATAATAAAAAATATGAACCGTCGCGAAGGTAAACAATAAGGGCATCCACGACTTTTTCTGCCACCAGGGCGGCGCCACTAGAAAGTGAGGTATAATATTTGACAGATTTCATAGGGGGGAAGTTAATTTGTTCAGAAAATGTAAAATTTATTGTTTCTTTTTGTACTATTAGCTATATTTAACGGTGGTAGAGCCTTGCAGCAGCTTTTGCTGTTGCACGTATGGGCCGGCTCGAGCCGGGTGCAGGGTGAGTGCAGGTGACCGGATGCCCAATTCCCCCCCCCCCCATCAACATGGTAGCGGAATTACGTCATAAACTACCCCAGGAGGGTACCAGTACCCCTGGAGAATCCCTCGCTGAGCATCCACGACCATGCTATTCCACTCCTGAGCGTGGGTACTCAGGCTGCCCCGCGTATTCTGGGGGGGGGGGGCAAAATTCCGCTCAACACAATAACTGCTCGGGGCAAACTGAGCAACAAGACCAAGGCGACCCCTGCCACGCTATCCGTGAATTTCTGCAACATCAGGGGACTTCACTCGAACCTAAACGCCGTCCACTACCATCTTGAGACGGCGAAGCCGGCCTTGCTCTTTCTGACCGAGACGCAGGTGTCCTCTCCGGCTGATACTTC